TGCAGTGGTCCATGCCCTCGAGGGGGGGGAAGAGACCACGGGCCGGCGCCAGCAGCCCATGGATCAGGGCGCGTATCCGCTTGTGCAACGGACTGGGCACGAGGAGCAGCACCCTCAGCAGGTTGGGTCTTCGGGTACAGCCTGGGCAGCGGTGGCCTGCACCGCCTCCAGAGAGAGCTCGGTCGTTCGGCGCCGGAGAGCGAATCTCTCTGCACCTCCACTCGAGCATCAGCAGCACCAGCAGAATCCCGACGTGCTGCGGGCACCTCGGCATCCAATGCCGACGCCAGTGAGGAGAAGGAGGAGGAGGAGGAGGAGGAGGAGGAGGAGGAGGAGGAGGAGGAGGAGGAGGAGGAGGAGGAGGAGGAGGAGGAGGGAGGAGGAGGGGAGGGAGGAGGAGGATGCGGAAGGACGAGGAGGAAGGAAGAGGAGGAGGAGGAGGAGGAGGAGGAGGAGGAGGAGTTGCTCTTTCGCAGTGGCTAATCGTGGTGATCGCTGGTGAAGGAGTAATTTTCCGGACTCCGCCAGGTGGGCCCCTCGGCGGCGGCTCATGGAGCGGCGCTGCGCAGAGGTACCCTGCGGAGGGGACGGGCGTACCGCCTGGAGGCCCCGGTGGGGAGGGAGCACAGGCTGCAGGCACACCCACCTCTGCTCCGGCGCGATTCGCATCCTTTGGGAGGTGCTCGCTTGCACTGCCATGCCTCCCTTTTCCCCATCCTGCCGCCCCGCTCTTGCGGTCAAGATGCTCATAGAAGGACCACTGTGGGCTCAGGAGGGGCTTAGGTTTTCGGGCCGCTCCTTGGATATATCGGCAGCGAGCGAGGATGGGAATTGAGAAGGAGAAGGCCTTCTCAGAAGGCAGCGGGACTTATCAGAAGCCTTCGCGCCTTTGAGAAGCTTTGAGTGTCTTCGGTCTTCGGGGAAGGCCAGGGGACTTCCGAGCCTTCTGAGAAGGCCCGCCCCTTCTCACTTCCCGCCCCCCTCGCTTGCCGCCGAACATAGGTCGGGGTACTTGCGCGCGGTTGGGGCTCGCCAGAAACGCCCCTTCGTCCCTTGGTCAGTGTTCCATGCAATACGGTAGCACGATGGGCTCCACGGCCGCACCGAGGTAGAAGATCGAGGTCGCCCCGGGAAGGGCACCCTCTCGTGTGTTCCGTGCCTGCTGCATGTTCTTGTGCACCCCGTGGGAGGGCACCCTCGAACAGGTTCTTCCGCTTGGGCCGGCCGGCGGAGGGCCTCGTGTTACCAGCCTGGAACATATCCCTATCCCTATGCTGGGCACCTCCTCATCACGATGCACGATGCCAATCTTAGGGATTTCCTTATTTTTTGAGGGCGAATCCCTAAGATTGTCATCGCCTTTTGGCGTGTCAATCTTAGGGATAGGGATACGTTCGAGGCTGGTAATCGTGCTCTCGAGCCGCGCCCAGTTATAGCAGGCACGCTCCGGGCTCTCCCTGGAGGTGCCGCCGCCGGTGCAGCGGCCGGTCCCGGGGCCGGCCGCGCGCGCCCAGCAGCGCTCTCGCTCTCTCTCGCGCTCTCTCGCCGCCCGTGCGCCAGGTGCGCGGGGGGTGGGTGGGCCCTCAAGCCCCAGCTCCTGTCTCAAGCAGTGGCGAAGCGTCCTGGCTCGCCTATAGCCCTACCAAACAATGTTCTAAGAACCTTTTGTGGTCTCCAGGAAATGTCCTTAGAACATTTCTGGCTGGGACTGTCCTGTTTTATCACATCGGGTTTGTGTTCTATGAACATTGTTCTTGTTCTTAGAACATTGTTGGGTTCTAAGAACACTTCGTGGTAGGACTATAGGAATGCAGGGACGGTCGGTCCCTGCTCAATGCAGCGCTCTCGCTCCCTCTCGCTCTCTCTCGCCGCCCGTGCGGCCAGGTGCGCGGGGGGTGGGTGGGCCCTCAAGCCCCAGCTCCCGTCGGAGGCCAAATTGCGGTCAGGGACTCTCACTTCACTGCATGCCTCCAGGAGGAGTTAGCGAGCACTCGTGCCACGCTCACCTGCAAGTGCCTTCCCCCCATGATCCAAGTTGGCGGTGGTGGTTGAGTTTGTTGCACTTCGGCCGCAGTCTTCCCCGCGCGCACCTGCTTCGAATTTGAGGGAAGGGAGAGCGTCCGCTAATTGTTCCCCTCTACCGTAGGGGGGGGGGGGGCTCGATCATCAGGTGTCTATTTTGAAGGACCTGTCGGAAAGTGCCTACATGGCAGCATTATGGTGGGGGAGGGGGAGGCGGACGAAAGCCAGATGATGAGGAGGAGGCACATTGAGATAATGACAGAGAGGAGGATGAAGAGGAGGAAGGCGGCTGACGGAGGAAGGAGGAAAAGAAGAAGGGAGAAGGACGGGCGGGCAGAGACGGACGGGGGAGGAAGGACGGATGCAGGGAGGAAGGGTGGAGGAGAAGGATGGGGATATGTCAAGCAGTGACGAAGCGTCCTGGCGTGCCTATAGGCCCATCAAACAATGTCCTAAGAACCTTTTGTGGCTTCTACGAAATGTTCTGAGAACAGTTCTGGCTGGGACTGTCCTGTTTTAGTACATCGGGCCTGTATGTTTTGAGAAAAAATTGCCGTTCCTGTAACATTTTGGGGGTTCTAGGAGAGCATTCCGTGGTACGCCTAACGGAATGCCGGGTTGGCCGGTCCCTGCTCAAGAATGAGGGGGGAGGGAGAGAGATCGTTTGATCCGCGGGTCGAGAGCGAGCCTCTTCCGATAGAAGCCAGGCGGGCCGCGCACAGCTTTAAATTAGCAGGAGGGGGGGGCAAAAGAAGGCGGGGACTCACGTCAAGGCCGAGAGAGGGCAAAGCCCTGGGATCAGGCGGTGCCGAAATCAAAGCAGGGAGGGAGAGAGACAGGGGGGGGGGGTAAGGGCGGGGGGAGGCCAGGGAGCAGGGCGGGCGGGCTCTTTGCGTTTCACGGGCGGGGAGCGCCGTTCCCCGGGGCCGCGAGGAGGCCGAGTTTGGCAGGGTGCCTGGTGGAAGTTCTCGTGCAGTGGAGGCCCATGCCGAAGAAAGAACCACCCTGCTCGCCTCCAGGGTGCCCTGGGTTTTCTTGGCCTCCCACACCAAAAATCGGTGGGCGTCTCGGGGTCTGCGGGTGGAAGTCCTTGCGCAGTGGAGACCCATGCCAAAGAAACACCCTGATTGCCTCCAGGGTGCCCTGGGTTTTGTTGGGCTTCGATGGTCTTGCGATGGAAAGCGGGAGGTGCCCTCACCAAGAGTCCGTGGACGTCTCGGGGTCTCGGGGTTGGGTTTCTCGCGGGAGTTTTCTTGCGGTCGGGCCCTTACTGTAGGAGATGGGCAGCCTGGCGAGCGCACCCGAAAAACAGTTTTGGGGCGCCCGCGGAACAGCGTTCCGGAGCATGCCCAGGTGTGGGCCGGGTTTTGTGCGCACCCATGCGCGCACGCGGGGGCCCCCGCGTCCGCGTGAAAGGTCGCCACCCCAGCGGGGGTGGCGGGAGGCCGAGCTTCGGGTCGGGGTGAGCGCACCGCAGAAGCCACCGAGGGGAGGCCGAAATGAGGATCCAGTGGACGCACCGTGCCGCGCACGGGACCATGAGTTGGGTGAACGCACCAGAGAAACCGATCTGGGGCCCCCGCGGAACAGCGTTCCGCGAACCCCGGGGCAGAGGGCCCCCGAGAGCGGGAGGAGGAGGAGGAGGAGGAGGAGGAGGAGGAGGAGGAGGAGGAGGAGGTCGAGGGGAAGCGAGAGGTGTTGGACGAGATTTGGTTTGACTTCGCGGACGCACAGGCCGAAATTATCGCGGCCACGAAGTCTTCGAGCGCGCTGGTATCAAGTGCAGTATGCTCTCCCGCGTGATCTATCAGTGTTGCGCCCGCTTCGACCTCGCCCGATGGGCAAACCCGATTCGACGGGAATGTGGCGTGCGAGCTGGCGCGAATGGTTGCCCTCGAACGGGCGGCGGGATGGTGCCTCCCAAAATTGGGACAGCTTTCCAGGAACGGCGAACTATCCACCCTCCACTTCGTCCGAACGTACTTTTCGCGCCCGTCTAATTTGCGTGTTGCGCCACCTGTTCCGTCCCACCATGTTTCGTCGCGGCGCGCTGGGACCTCGGTGTTTCGGTGCCCCTTTTCTTCGGTCGTGTCCCTCCGCTCGTTTGTCTGTGATTCTTGGTGCCCGTTCTTGGTTCTCTTTCGGCCCCCTCGGGCCTCTTCCGTCGCGCGTCGGCTACGTGCAGGAGTTCTTGTTTTGACGATGACCCGAGGATACATCAAAAGCGTTAGCCATCTCCCAGATTCCAAGCGTTGGCGTCCCGAGCCTTTCCCAATCTCCCACCCGGCGGAGCAGAGCGACACGCTACCCGCTTGGAGGGCATAGCGCGTCGCCAAGGCTGCCGCCGCGACGCGCTAAGCAAACATTTCTGGCTGCAGAGCTTGGCACCGACGCCAGTGTCGAACGTCGCCTCCACCGATGGAAAATGATCATGATCTCGGTAATGGTGGTGATGCTAGGGATTCCTAGGTGGCCGGCAGGTTAACAGCTACCACCAACACCCAAATTCAAGATCACCTTCACCCGGTGGACGCAATCTCCCGTTGTTGGCGCTGATGCTAATCCACAGGCCCCCCATCCCTCCCATTCCCTTCTTGTTGCGAGGCGGGGCATGGAGGGAGAACGAGGTGAGGGGCAGGGCCCCCATGGGTGGCAACAGGTAGGCGGGTGGGGAGCGGCGGACGTGGAAGAAGGGGGGGAGGGTGCTACGCTTGGTGAGGAGAAGGAGGAGGAGGAGGAGGAGGAGGAGGAGGAGGAGGAAGAAGAAGGCAACGGCAGAGGCGGCAGGCCGAGGAGGACGAGGCGGAAGCAGCGGCCGAAGGCACGGGTGCACCGCTGCCCCCGCCCCCCCCCCCCCGCCGCGCGCGCGCGCGCCGGCGAGACGCGCCCCTCCTCGCCAGCTGCCTCTCTGGCTCGGGCACGCGGTGGCCCTTGCTTCGCTCCAATATAGCCCGCGCCTCCGCCCGCGCCGTTGGAGCATGGCCGGCGCCCTCTTCGCCTGGGCGCTCTGCGCCCTGCTCGGCGCGCCCGCGGCGGGCGCGGGCGGCCGCGGCGCCACCGGCACTGGCCAGGCGCGATGTGCTTTTTGTTCGGGGGGTGGGGGGCTTCGCGCGTGCGAGGCGAGAGAGCCCCCAGGGCGTGGCAGGCGATATCGCAGGCATGGGTCAAGGGGGCATGGATTTTCGCGGCGGGTCCCATGGGAGCTGGCGGATCTCCGCCGCCGAGCGAGGCGGCACCGGCCGCAGTTTGGGGAGGGCACCTCCCCCGATGCATGGATTTGGCGCCCGCGCGCCAAATCCATGGATCGCCAATCCATGTTTGCGCCCCCCCCGAGTATCGGAGGTTCTGAGGTTGCTAAGGCCCCCACCCTGCTAGGCCGATGAGCGAGTTGCTCGTTTTCCGGTCCCCGAGAGGGAGTCGCGGCCGCAGTCTGCTGCGGGCCTGAGGCCGCCGGGCCTAGCCCAGGGTCGTTTTTGTTGGCCAAGGACTCCCACCCCCGACAATACAGTCAGGAACGTTTGCTTAGCGTGTCTCGCCGCCAGTTCTGGCCCACCACGCTTCGGCGCGACACGCCAGCCACGTCGCAGGCCCCAAGCGTCAGCGCCCCGAGCTCTTCCCGGTATCCGCCTGCAGGGCACAGCTCAGGAGGGGAAGAAACACACAGACACAATTAATCGTCGACTCCCCAGAAAATATAGGAAAATTTTGGAATTGGGGGTGAAGACGGAAACCCCCAAAATATGGGAAAATATGGGGAATCTGTTATTTGCGTGTATTTATTTGTGTGTCCCAGGGCCCCTTCAAAAAAATCCGAACGAAAGTTCCTGGCCGTGAGTCTTCTGGCGTCGCCAGCTCTCTCGGGGCTCTTCGGGTCGCTCTTGCGGCGGGCTCCGCCGAGCAGCAGGGCTGCTCGCAGTCGGGCTCGATGCTGTGCGATCCGAGCGGATGCGAATCGGTCCTTCTCCGGCCTGCAGGGGGCGAGCCCCAGCAGCGATCCCAGAACGATCCGACTTCAATGAGGTGCCCGACTCGGCGATTCGACCCAGCTCATGCATGACAGAGTCATCTGATTCTCAGACTGCGCGTCCTGCCTGGCCTTCATGCTTCCCCCATCCTGTTGGCGGCGGGTGCGTGCGACGCTCTCATGCTGGCCTCCGCACCCACGAGCGTTTCCTGCGCACCCACGAGCGCTTGCCTTGCTTCTCCTCCCTCCCCCTCGCCCCGGCCTCCCTTGCGGGCGACTGTGCGGACGTCGTGCCGTTTCGGCCTCCATATTCTCTTCACGCGGGGCGCCTCGCTTTGTCTCACAGAGTCCTCGAGCCGCGGCTCGTTTTGAAGTGTTGCGCGCGGGCTCATTCATAATTTGTGCGACACGACGGCCGCCATACATGGGAGGTCGTTGTCTCGCCCGCCCACCCGCAGGGAGGCCTTCTGTATAGCTTTCATGGTGCATCCTTCCGTTGTCCAGCGGGCCACCATGCGGCGCGTCGGCTTTCGAAACGCATTTCAATCTCTCTCTCTCTCTCTCTCTCTCTCTATCTTTCCTCTCTCTCTCTCTCTTTCTGTCTCTCTCGTCCTTTCTCTCTCTCTCTCTCGCGCTCTCCCTCTCTCTCTCGCTCTCGCTTTCTCTCTCTTTCTCTTTTCTCGTTGTTTGTTTGTTTCTCTCTTTCTCTCTCTTTCTCTCTCTCTCTCTATCTCTCTCCCTCACACCTCAACAGTACGTAGGCGCAACAAATACAAGATCTGCATGCCCCACGGAACAATCGTATGCCCCGATGGCCCCGGGGACCCACAGCAGGTTTGGGTCATTTTCGGAGGCTCAGAGATTCAAATATCGACGAATACTGTGTCCCACAATCTCCTGTGTAAAGATTCACGGTCTTTCCTGTACAGTGTGCGTCCCTTTTGCTTGTTGCGTGGTCTTGGGTGCACAGATGCATCCGTGGTCTTGTTAGATACGTGTATATCATCATGTTTTTACTAGGAATCGTAGTATTCAGAATATCACGAATAATACGAATAATACTAATACAACAGCTACTACTACAACAACTACAACTACTAGTACTACTACTATTACTACCACTACTACTACTACTACTACTACTACTACTACTACTACTACTACTACTACTACTACTACTACTACTACTACTACTACTACGACTACGACTACGACTACTACTACGACTACTACTACTACTACTACTACTACTACTACTACTACTACTAACTACTACTACTACTACTACTACTACTACTACTACTACTACTACTACTACTACTACTACTACTACTACTACTACTACTACTACTACTACTACTACTACTACTACTACTACTACTACTACTACTACTACTACTACTACTACTACTACTACTACTACTACGAATAATAATAATAATAATAATAGTAATAATAATCTTAATAATAATAATAATACTAATAATAATGATAATAATAATAATGATAATAATACTAATAATAATAATTAATAATAATACTAATAATAATAATAATAATAAACAACATGGGTGCGCTGGAATGTGCTTCGCCGCCGCCTCGAGGCCCGCTCCCTGCTGCAGACGTGGGATGCCGCCCTGGACGGCACCGGGGCCGGCGCGAGGTCGAAGGCGACGCCTTTGGCGAAGGTGGTGAGCCTGCTGAAGAGCATGCAGGACGCGATCCGCTCCCGGATCTCCGGCGGCACGAGTGGTGTTCAATCCTGGCGAGGTCCCTCGGTTTCGACATTTGGGGCCCGTTCTTGGGCCCCTGGGGCTATCAACAATGTCATCCGGGGCGCCAGAATGACCCGGATCTCTGGGTGATCGGGAGCCCCCAAGGTGGCCCCAGTCGCTTGCAGGAGTGCCCAGTAGGTCCCAGAAGTCTTCGAGGTCTCCAAGGTCACAGGAATCAAACATTAAGTCGGGCCTGTCCCTCTACAGAAGAAGTGTTTAAAAATAGTAAAACAAATAGTCGAGGGACGATTTGTTTCAACATTTTTGGGCATTTTGGGAGTATTTCTGCGTATTCTTAATGTTTATCTCCAGATCCCCTTATAGGGGGGACAGGCCCGACCTAAAGCGAGCAGGGGGCCCCAGCAGATGTCCCCAGCCACTTGAAGGCCCCCCTCCTGGCGCTGCCCCTGACGTTCGCCCTGCTGGGCTGCTGGACGTCCGCCCCGGGGGCCCGAGAGGGCCTTCGGCGCGTCTCGCACGACGCAGAGAGAGATGCCGTGGCCTGCACGCGCGTCGCCCGGCGCCTCCTGGCGGAGGAGGAAGAGGATCGATTACACGTAAGAGTGACCCTTCGCTGGAGTGACCTTTGTTGCTGGCCCAAAGGGGGTCGGGTGATTGTTCTTGAGAAGTGAGCTTGGCCTCGCGTCGGCACCCGCATCGCGTGGTTGCGTTCGCATCTGAGCGCGCCAGGTTTGGGCCCACCCCTGGCAATCGACAGCAACGTATACGCGTCGAACCCTACAGTTTGCATTGGTTACCCGAGGGGGAGCCGGTCGACCAGACGGCGCGTTTCTGGCCCAGGACCAGTCCCGAATCCCAGCCCAAATCCCGAACCGTCTGGCTTGAATGTTTTCGGATATCTTTGGATATGTTTGAAGATCTTTAAATCTGCTTTTCGAACCAATGGGGGTCTTTACTAATATAAGTCATCCAAAGACATTCAGATATATTCCGGGCTCTCGGATGGGGCTGGTTTTGGCCATCGCGCCTGGCCTGGTCAGACGTCATCGCGATGCAGCCCGGCAGTGCCAGACCACATCGCGGTGGCCCCCGGCAGCGTCTGCTTTCTCAGGCCCTTCGAAGTGCCATTCGGGGCGCTCGAATCCAATCGGCAGAATTCCGCGGTTGCCCGCTGGCGCAAAATATCTTTCGAGTGGCGCCCCGCCGATCGTTGACGCGGCGCGGCAGCGCCGGCGTGCGCGATGGCGTTGGGCCCCCGCGGGCGCCCCTGAAGCCGCGCACCAAAGGTCACTCCAGCCTAGGGTCACTCCCACGTGCAGTCGAGAGGAGGAGGAGGAGGAGGAGGAGGAGGAGGAGGACGAGGAGGAGGACGAGGAGGACGAGGAGGACGAGGAGGACGAGGAGGACGAGGAGGACGAGGAGGACGAGGAGGAGGAGGAGGAGGACGAGGACGAGGACGAGGACGAGGACGAGACGAGGGGAAGAGGAGGAGGCGGAGGAGGAGGAGGAGGAGGAGGAGGAGGTCGGCCTCTCGCTGGCCACGAAGCGCTCGACCGCTCGCCTTCCTCTCCCCCTCCACGTGTGCCTCGCACTGGATGCGTGCGCACCCTGGGACATGTGTGGAGTCGGGCCTGTCCCTCTACAGGAGGAATATCCAAGAATAGTCACAGAATGGTCGGGGGGCGATTTTTCGACTATTGTTGACCATTGTTGAGCATTTTGTTGGCCACTTCTTTTTTCGTCCAGGATCCGCCCTGTGCCGGCCGGGGCCCGGCAGCCCTCCAGGATACCGTCAGGCCCTCGGGAGGGGGGGTCGGGTCTCGGGCCGGGGGCGGCCAAGAAGGGGGTGATGACTGGGGTCAGGTCGGGCACGTCCCCCCCCTACTGGCGGATTTTGGAGGAATGATTAACCATAGTTAAAATAAAAAGCAGTCCAGAATTATCAAAAACTAGTAAAGGAATTGTCCCCACAATATTTTTTGGACTATTTTTGAATATTCCCCTGTAGAGGGACAGGCCCGACGTAAGACCAGGAAGGGGCGGACATCATGGCGGGGGGCATGATACACCTCCCCAGATTTCACGGCGCCCCTTCTTGTGTCATTGCGTCCCTGGCCCCCCCTTGGGCCGCGCACATGTCACTAGCCATGATTTGCGCCCCCCCCCCCCCCCTCTTGGACGCCCCCCTCTTGAACGTTGGACGCCCCCCTCTTGGACGCCCCCGATTGGGAGGGCTTGGGGGGGGGCCCTTCGTTCTAGTGTCGAGGCCTCGAGGGTCTCAGATGTTGCGCGTTCTGGGCCTCTGACGGGTCGCCGGGAGGCTTGCCGCCGCCACGGCTGGATCTCCTTTGCTAGAGTTCCAGCAACAGCGCGCCTCAGAACAAGTTTCGGGGCCGATCTTGGAGGGAGGTGAGCTCACACATGGGAATCTGGCTGTTTCTTTGCAAGTCCCCAGCTTCTCCCCCATGCGTGCCACTAGGGGTTCTTAATTTGCTTTGTTCAGTTCATGGGCGAATTTTCCACCACCGCTACCATGGATAGGACGGGGGAGGTCTCCTCCTCGTCGTCGTCCTCCTCCTCCTGCTCCTCCTCCTCCTCCCTCTCCTACCTATGGTGGTGGTGGTGGAACATCGGCCCATCATAAGTAGTTAACTTTGTTTTCGCCACGTTGCCCGCCCGTGCCGCCTCGTGGACGCCTCGGTTGCGCCCTTTGCGCCGGGACGTTGCCGAGGTTGCGCCACATCGCCGCCCGCGCCGCCTCGTGGACGCTCGTGGGCGCCCCGTGTGCCGTGGGCGGGGGCCGCGGCTGCGCCACGTTGGCCGACCTCCTCCCCCTCCTCCTCCTCCTCCTTCTCCTCCTCCTCCTCCTCCCTCCTCCTCCTCCTCCTCCTCCTCCTCCTCCTCCTCCCTCCTCCTCCTCCTCCTCCTCCTCCTCCTCCTCCTCCTCCTCCTCCTCCTCCTCCTCCCTCCTCCTCCTCCTCCTCCTTCTCTCCTCCTCCTCCTCCTCCTCCTCCTCCTCCTCCTCCTTCTCCTCCTCCTTTTCTTCCTCCTTCGTGTGTGTGTGTAGATATGTTTGCCATGGCCATGCAATCTCCCAACTTTCAAGGCCCCCTCTTCTTCGTTCGCTGCGTCCCCCGGGCCCCGCCCCCTCGTGCCTGCACACGCCTCTGTAGGAGCCCGTTTTGGGGGGCGCCGTGGCCGCGGGGATTTGTTCCCGACCATCCTGTGCGAATTGACCTTCGCTTTGAGTCGGCCGCGCCGCGCCCCACTTCCTCGCCTCCATCTCTTCCTCCTCCTCCTCCTCGAATCCCTCCTCCAACTCTTCCTCCTCCTCCTCCTCCTCCTCCAACTCCTCCTGCTCCTCCTCCTCCTCCTCCTCCTCCTCCTCCTCCTCCTCCTCCTCCTCCTCCTCCTCCTCCTCCTCCTCCTCCCCCCATTTTCAAGATTCCACGCGGATTTCTTAGATCGGGGCCCCCATGGCGGCGCCTCCGGCGCCGCCCCTGGTGCGCTCCGCACGTCAGGGAGGGGGGCTTAGCCCAGATCTACGAAATCTGTGTGGACCTCTGACAGAATTTGTGAAGACCACTGTCCGTGTTTAATTTACTCGAAGCCAATGCCCGAATCCGATGCCAAAGCATCTAACGTTCGAGTGTGATTGTGCAAGTCTGTCTTGCTTGCCTCGTTCGTGACAGCGGATGTTCGACCGTGGTGGGCATGGCATAGTTGGTAGGAGCGACGATCGGGAGGTTGAGTTTGACGACGTTGATGATGGCTACGGCAACGATTGAGATGACGGGGGTGGTAATGCGTGCTCCCTTAGCATTCCTATGACTTGTGTGTTGTGACCGGAGCCAATCACACATTAATATGTGACATGACGATTGTTTGTATGAAGGGTGCCTCAAGAAGGGAACACACGTTTTGCACACGGGCCCTGGCAGCCAGGACACCCTGAAAAAGGAGATGGACGAGGACCAGAAGTTGTACGAGAAGCTCAAGTGCTGGTGCGAGAACAACGACTGGGAGAAGGCTCCCGGCCTTTCTGTGACGAGACGAGGCTTCAGTGTGCACGGAGTCTGCTGGCATCGCCCCGCTTCTGGCAGGCTCGAAGCTCCACAGCGGCCGCGTGGCACTGCAGTTTGCATGGCCCGCTCTGGCCGCTGCTCTGCGGCGGGTCCTCGGGCCGCCGAGTGCCGCTGGGCCCACTCTGGCCGAAGCGTATCCTCTCCGCCTTGATCCTCTTTCGCCTGTGGCTCCCCTTCGGATGCGACTCCCTGGAGGTTACCTTCAGCATCTGCGCCCGTAGATCCGTGGCCGGGGGCCGGCCGCATCCGGCATGCTCCCGCTGGATCCCGCTGGACCCGGCCTCATCTGGCCGAACCCTGTGGTCCATGTGGGCTCATCCGGCC